AAATGTCTCTCACACAGAGCAAAATATGGGGAAAAAAAATAATAGTTTTTGGTTGTAAAGCTCAAACCAAAGCAAATCCCAATAAGAGAGGACAGTTTGGACTAAACGCTCCAAAAAGACCTGTGTATGCACTTGTGCCTGCACACACTGAGAATAAGCAGTGTGGACATATCTGGGCAAATCTAGGTGGGTTGGTGAGGAACTCCCAGTTTTAACTGAGAGCAGCCAACCACAGACACAATTACAGCAGATCTGAGGGTTGCATATCCTTTTTTACAGAAGAGAATAATGCTTCCTAATATATTTAAATTCTTTTTTTATTCAGAGACAGTTTGGAAAAAATTAAAGCAAATCCATGTGCAGTCATGCTTTTCCCTGAGCTGATGTCAGGTTTCCCAAGCATTCATCATTGCTATTTATTTAGTACAGTAGCAATAAGGAACTCGAATGCTTCAGCTTCTGGGCACTCCCTGCAGTTTCAGCCCCAAAGACTTTACGATTACAATTTTTGGTGACATTTCTTGTGATTATGGAATGGACCGACTTTGTTCACTGGAAAAAATAAGCAACAAATTTTGACCTTATTGACAGGAAGACTATGACATACCAGAATTGCTGGGAATCATATAATCATTTCCAAAGCTGATATGAAGTACACTGACAACACTAATAAATCTAGGAAATACAGACTTGGAAGGGTTCTCAATTAGACATGATTAACTTGCACAGTTATGGGGGAGAGAAATGCCTACTTCCATTTTAAAGCTAAGGACACCTCTAATTTGTTCAAATGCGTGACCTGTCTCTTGTATGACCAACCCAACAAAACACGTCTGCTTACGGCACACATTCAGACGAGGCACGCCAAGCTCAACTGAAATGGGATACTACACTCAGTCAAGTTCATGAAAAGCCAAGCACAACAATCAAAACCATGCTCCCTACCTGGTAATAAATTACAAAGCTGTGGTCTCATGAAAGGCAGCATGTGTGTTTGGAAAGACATGGGTCTGTGGCTTTGCTGGTCAGGAGGCAAATGCAGAAGCATCCCAGGGCCCACTGGCAGATCACAGTTGTTCAGCTGGGAGCCAATCCCCACCAGAAAAGCCTCTCAGGAGGCACCATCTTTCATCAAGACCAAAAAAGTTTTTTGAATCGTTTAAGCAAGCAGACACTTCAACAGCAGTCCGTCCAACTGTTTAGGTACACAGTACTTCTAACTAAAATTTAATTTATTTTTGAGGATATCTTAAGAAAGCCTATGACAGCACATCAGCACCTCAAATTTCTCTGCTGAATTGTTTGTTCCCCATTTCTTGATGGAAAAAAAAAGCTCAGATAAATGCTGAAGTTTCAGCAAATACTTGAAAAGAAAGGTCTAAAACTCCTCTATAACAGCAAGATTTCCTGGTGAAAAAAATGCTGGTTTTGAGGTTGTAAACAGACAACAAGTTCATTTTTAGTTATGATTATACAAATCCAAAACTTGTTAAATTGCAAAACCCACTAAGATGCTTATGACTCATAAGAAGTGGAAGGTGATTCACCAGTTTTCAAGTATTTATAGTTCTGAATGCTCCACTGCTATGCACTGGTAACCATTACCTACTGAAGACCTATAACAAGTCAAAATAAACTCTATGGTAGAGTAAATGAAATAACAAGAAATTTAGTATATGCCCAAGTACAGTAAAAAAAAAATCTTACAACTCTTTTCTGTGATAGCACGTTGAATTATTTGCCAAATTGTGTAGGCTGATACTTGTTTATGTGTGATCACAAACATGCATTTTGTAGAAGCCTATACCCAGTCATAGTAATTAACACTGCTGAAATTACTGAAAATGTGTAAAAAAATATTGCAACCAAAATTCTCTCAAAACAAATGTTTGGTGATAATAAGGCAACTGATATGCAAACTAAGTTAACAGTTCACACAACTTATATTTGGCTGGCAGGAAACACTTGTGAATAAAGTTAAAAAAGCAAATGTCAATCTTTTCACAGTCAGCTGCAGATACCGGGGCTGACATAATGAAAGCAGAGTACATTAAAAAAGATCAGACAAGCTTCTCTGAATAAAATGAATATGTAAGCGAGTTCTACAGCCCAAATGAGAGATCACTGAATCCTATTCCCTACTTGTTTCCTGGCCCTAAATTATACTAAGAAAACCGTATTAGATCTGCATGATGTCTCAGCTCTGTAAAGAAGTTTGATCTATATGCTAACGTCAAGAGTAGCCACACTTTTTTTCTCATGTATTTTGGATATAGGTCTGAGTAAGACTGTATGTGTAGATTCAGATTTAATGTGACAAGCTAACTCTGTGTTATTTCCATTTTAAATAGCAGGATTAAAATGGATAATCATATTTATATCACTGTCAGGTCTATTTAAAACATGATGTGTAGTATCCTGCATTCAGCAAAAGGAGAGGAACAGAAGACTGAGGGTTATAATATTTTTATTCATATTTTTATGTATATCTATTTGTCTACTGTATTAATTATACAGTTGTAAAACAAATAAATGGGCTATTTTATTTAAGTACCTAAACTTGAATTTAGAGGCCTAGGACCAAGTCTGACCACATAAGCACAAGCCTTAAATAAAACTGTGCCTAACCTGGCTCTCACAGCAGTCCGCTTCTATCTGTGTTAATGCCATGACAGGGTAAGATCCTATACATCTTCTGCAGACACAAGGCTAGGGATTACTATCAGCAAAGAGTGGAATCAATTGCTAAGTTTCTACGCTCAGTCTGAACTATTTTGCAGTAAAGCATCCTTGATCAGCTTCACTTGGTTGGTGCTTTATTTTCTAATGATGGTATTTGAATGCCCTGATGCAGATCATCTTGAATAGATTGGGGGAAAAATGACTCACAACCCTTTTTTGAAAAAAAATACTCAAAAGCAGGAGATATGC